TGATACATAATGGCACTGGTAAAACACTAGAAACATTATATTTCATTTTAGATGTTCAATGTCAAGGTTCAACAACAAAGTTACCATGTCCATATGGCATGAATGATACATAATGGCACTGGTAAAACACTAGAAACATTATATTTCATTTTAGATGTCCAATGTCAAGGTTCAACAACAAAGTTACCATGTCCATATGGCATGAATGATACATAATGGCACTGGTAAAACACTAGAAACATTATATTTCATTTTAGATGTCCAATGTCAAGGTTCAACAACAAAGTTACCATGTCCATATGGCATGAATGATACATAATGGCACTGGTAAAACACTAGAAACATTATATTTCATTTTAGATGTTCAATGTCAAGGTTCAACAACAAAGTTACCATGTCCATATGGCATGAATGATACATAATGGCACTGGTAAAACACTAGAAACATTATATTTCATTTTAGATGTCCAATGTCAAGGTTCAACAACAAAGTTACCATGTCCATATGGCATGAATGATACATAATGGCACTGGTAAAACACTAGAAACATTATATTTCATTTAGATGTTCAATGTCAAGGTTCAACAACAAAGTTACCATGTCCATATGGCATGAATGATACATAATGGCACTGGTAAAACACTAGAAACATTATATTTCATTTTAGATGTCCAATGTCAAGGTTCAACAACAAAGTTACCATGTCCATATGGCATGAATGATACATAATGGCACTGGTAAAACACTAGAAACATTATATTTCATTTTAGATGTCCAATGTCAAGGTTCAACAACAAAGTTACCATGTCCATATGGCATGAATGATACATAATGGCACTGGTAAAACACTAGAAACATTATATTTCATTTTAGATGTCCAATGTCAAGGTTCAACAACAAAGTTACCATGTCCATATGGCATGAATGATACATAATGGCACTGGTAAAACACTAGAAACATTATATTTCATTTTAGATGTTCAATGTCAAGGTTCAACAACAAAGTTACCATGTCCATATGGCATGAATGATACATAATGGCACTGGTAAAACACTAGAAACATTATATTTCATTTTAGATGTCCAATGTCAAGGTTCAACAACAAAGTTACCATGTCCATATGGCATGAATGATACATAATGGCACTGGTAAAACACTAGAAACATTATATTTCATTTTAGATGTTCAATGTCAAGGTTCAACAACAAAGTTACCATGTCCATATGGCATGAATGATACATAATGGCACTGGTAAAACACTAGAAACATTATATTTCATTTTAGATGTTCAATGTCAAGGTTCAACAACAAAGTTACCATGTCCATATGGCATGAATGATACATAATGGCACTGGTAAAACACTAGAAACATTATATTTCATTTTAGATGTTCAATGTCAAGGTTCAACAACAAAGTTACCATGTCCATATGGCATGAATGATACATAATGGCACTGGTAAAACACTAGAAACATTATATTTCATTTTAGATGTTCAATGTCAAGGTTCAACAACAAAGTTACCATGTCCATATGGCATGAATGATACATAATGGCACTGGTAAAACACTAGAAACATTATATTTCATTTTAGATGTCCAATGTCAAGGTTCAACAACAAAGTTACCATGTCCATATGGCATGAATGATACATAATGGCACTAGTAAAACACTAGAAACATTATATTTCATTTTAGATGTTCAATGTCAAGGTTCAACAACAAAGTTACCATGTCCATATTGCATGAATGATACATAATGGCACTGGTAAAACACTAGAAACATTATATTTCATTTTAGATGTTCAATGTCAAGGTTCAACAACAAAGTTGCCATGTCCATATGGCATGAATGATACATAATGGCACTGGTAAAACACTAGAAACATTATATTTCATTTTAGATGTCCAATGTCAAGGTTCAACAACAAAGTTACCATGTCCATATGGCATGAATGATACATAATGGCACTGGTAAAACACTAGAAACATTATATTTCATTTTAGATGTTGAATGTCATGAATAAGGTTCAACAACAAAGTTACCATGTCCATATGGCATGAATGATACATAATGGCACTGGTAAAACACTAGAAACATTATAATTCATTTTAGATGTTCAATGTCAAGGTTCAACAACAAAGTTACCATGTCCAAATGGCATGAATGATACATAATGGCACTGGTAAAACACTAGAAACATTATATTTCATTTTAGATGTTCAATGTCAAGGTTCAACAACAAAGTTACCATGTCCATATGGCATGAATGATACATAATGGCACTGGTAAAACACTAGAAACATTATATTTCATTTTAGATGTTCAATGTCAAGGTTCAACAACAAAGTTACCATGTCCATATGGCATGAATGATACATAATGGCACTGGTAAAACACTAGAAGCATTATATTTCATTTTAGATGTCCAATGTCAAGGTTCAACAACAAAGTTACCATGTCCATATGGCATGAATGATACATAATGGCACTGGTAAAACACTAGAAACATTATATTTCATTTTAGATGTTCAATGTCAAGGTTCAACAACAAAGTTACCATGTCCATATGGCATGAATGATACATAATGGCACTGGTAAAACACTAGAAACATTATATTTCATTTTAGATGTTCAATGTCAAGGTTCAACAACAAAGTTACCATGTCCATATGGCATGAATGATACATAATGGCACTGGTAAAACACTAGAAACATTATATTTCATTTTAGATGTCCAATGTCAAGGTTCAACAACAAAGTTACCATGTCCATATGGCATGAATGATACATAATGGCACTGGTAAAACACTAGAAACATTATATTTCATTTTAGATGTCCAATGTCAAGGTTCAACAACAAAGTTACCATGTCCATATGGCATGAATGATACATAATGGCACTGGTAAAACACTAGAAACATTATATTTCATTTTAGATGTTCAATGTCAAGGTTCAACAACAAAGTTACCATGTCCATATGGCATGAATGATACATAATGGCACTGGTAAAACACTAGAAACATTATATTTCATTTTAGATGTCCAATGTCAAGGTTCAACAACAAAGTTACCATGTCCATATGGCATGAATGATACATAATGGCACTGGTAAAACACTAGAAACATTATATTTCATTTAAGATGTTCAATGTCAAGGTTCAACAACAAAGTTACCATGTCCATATGGCATGAATGATACATAATGGCACTGGTAAAACACTAGAAACATTATATTTCATTTTAGATGTCCAATGTCAAGGTTCAACAACAAAGTTACCATGTCCATATGGCATGAATGATACATAATGGCACTGGTAAAACACTAGAAACATTATATTTCATTTTAGATGTTCAATGTCAAGGTTCAACAACAAAGTTACCATGTCCATATGGCATGAATGATACATAATGGCACTGGTAAAACACTAGAAACATTATATTTCATTTTAGATGTCCAATGTCAAGGTTCAACAACAAAGTTACCATGTCCATATGGCATGAATGATACATAATGGCACTGGTAAAACACTAGAAACATTATATTTCATTTTAGATGTCCAATGTCAAGGTTCAACAACAAAGTTACCATGTCCATATGGCATGAATGATACATAATGGCACTGGTAAAACACTAGAAACATTATATTTCATTTTAGATGTTCAATGTCAAGGTTCAACAACAAAGTTACCATGTCCATATGGCATGAATGATACATAATGGCACTGGTAAAACACTAGAAACATTATATTTCATTTAAGATGTTCAATGTCAAGGTTCAACAACAAAGTTACCATGTCCATATGGCATGAATGATACATAATGGCACTGGTAAAACACTAGAAACATTATATTTCATTTTAGATGTTCAATGTCAAGGTTCAACAACAAAGTTACCATGTCCATATGGCATGAATGATACATAATGGCACTGGTAAAACACTAGAAACATTATATTTCATTTTAGATGTCCAATGTCAAGGTTCAACAACAAAGTTACCATGTCTATATGGCATGAATGATACATAATGGCACTGGTAAAACACTAGAAACATTATATTTCATTTTAGATGTTCAATGTCAAGGTTCAACAACAAAGTTACCATGTCCATATGGCATGAATGATACATAATGGCACTGGTAAAACACTAGAAACATTATATTTCATTTTAGATGTTCAATGTCAAAGTTCAACAACAAAGTTACCATGTCCATATGGCATGAATGATACATAATGGCACTGGTAAAACACTAGAAACATTATATTTCATTTTAGATGTCCAATGTCAAGGTTCAACAACAAAGTTACCATGTCCATATGGCATGAATGATACATAATGGCACTGGTAAAACACTAGAAACATTATATTTCATTTTAGATGTCCAATGTCAAGGTTCAACAACAAAGTTACCATGTCCATATGGCATGAATGATACATAATGGCACTGGTAAAACACTAGAAACATTATATTTCATTTTAGATGTTCAATGTCAAGGTTCAACAACAAAGTTACCATGTCCATATGGCATGAATGATACATAATGGCACTGGTAAAACACTAGAAACATTATATTTCATTTTAGATGTCCAATGTCAAGGTTCAACAACAAAGTTACCATGTCCATATGGCATGAATGATACATAATGGCACTGGTAAAACACTAGAAACATTATATTTCATTTTAGATGTCCAATGTCAAGGTTCAACAACAAAGTTACCATGTCCATATGGCATGAATGATACATAATGGCACTGGTAAAACACTAGAAACATTATATTTCATTTTAGATGTCCAATGTCAAGGTTCAACAACAAAGTTACCATGTCCATATGGCATGAATGATACATAATGGCACTGGTAAAACACTAGAAACATTATATTTCATTTTAGATGTCCAATGTCAAGGTTCAACAACAAAGTTACCATGTCCATATGGCATGAATGATACATAATGGCACTGGTAAAACACTAGAAACATTATATTTCATTTTAGATGTCCAATGTCAAGGTTCAACAACAAAGTTACCATGTCCATATGGCAGCAATATATCGTCAAGTGAATGCGAGTACTACAACTGTTGCTATGACAATTCTTCATCTCCAATATGCTACCAAAGAGCACCAGGTGAGTACTCATATCAGCAAGCATCCAGTTTCTCAGAAATACGATTTTATATTTCTTATTTCAATATGTAGACTAATGTGTTGGTATACCCTTTGCATTCGTTTGACTTCACTTCTTAAAAGAGAGCTTCGTCTTCAGTTTAACTAGACTCTGCACGCAGGGTAGTGTTGGTATGATATCGGAATCCAAATGTCTTCACATAAATTACCTGCACTCTATTTAAAACATATTTCAGAATGTGTTAACTTAGCATGTGGAGATAATGAAACAACAACCATAGAATGCCCAGTCGATGATATGATCCGAATAGCAAGGGTGGGGAATGCTGCTCGAACAAATTGCAATGGGACGGATATATGTCTAGCTTATATTCGATACCCTAATAACACCAAAGCGAAATGCAATAATAAAACAAAGTGTGCGTTACCAAACAAGACCTATGAAAATGGCCAGAGTGAACGATGCACAACATACGACGAGAGAGGAAAGGTCGTATACATTCCAACAACATCTCAATTTGTCTGCTTCAGATGTTATCCCATCCCAACTACTACAACTTCAACAACAACTACGGTATTACCAACCACTATAAGCCAGACTAGCTCTAACAGTACTGTAGATGTACATGGCGGTTCAGGTAGGATGGTTATCCTTAGATCCTAACAACAGAATTATGGGGTGAAAAATATATATATTGGAGTTACATAAGTATCTCCATGGGCTTTCAATAGATTGAATGCCCATCGTATAAGATGAAGTAGTTTATTCAAAACAAAGATTAATTACCAACAAAATTATAAAAGAATTAAGATCAAAAGCTTTTCAAATATTAATTATTTATTCATATTTGACACTTGGGTGATTTGACACATTTGACATATTACAATTATTGAGCACATGTACAATGAATGAGTCAATAAAACGATAGGTTTCCGGGAGGTTTCGAGATGAGTTAACAAAAGAACGAGAATGCATGCAATGTTAAACGAAAATATCGTATACATGTATCAGAATTAAAATGTTCCAAAATTAAATCATCTTTCTTTTCATGTAAAAAGGCCAATATCTAACATTAATCGATTATCACTTTTGCTTTATTTTGCAGATGTGGTCATAATTTTTAACACATCCTGTAGTTTTAATTCTCAGCATAGTTGATCATGATTTCCATGGTATCCATTCTATTCTTATCTTTATTTGTTTACAACATAACTTACCAATATGCTTTTTAACCTGTTTTGTTTTACTTAACCAGGTCTTAATATTCCACTGTTGCTCTACATTGTGGTCCCAGCAATCGTTGTTGTTGTCGTTGCGTTCATTATGTTGGGACTGTGGTACAAGTATCGCTATAAACGAAATGACAAAAGGTAATTTACCATCTAGCAAAGCCAGAAACTTGAATCTAACCCTCACTAATTCAATTCTAATCTTGACCTTGACCTTCACTTGACATTTCACTTATTAACTTCCAGTAAAACAAATAGCTTGAATTTTACTAAATGTACCATCACGCCTTACCATCGACAAGGTACAGTCACGTGACAGTGACAAAATATACCGTAGTACACTTTTGATGTACTATGTCACTATAAACTGATTTTAAGCAAAGACTATGATGTAGGTTTGATGAAGGTTTTCAAAATAAATTTGAGGAATACATAAAGCATTTCATGTTTGATTTCGCGTGTATTCGATTGACTGTACCTTGTCGATGGTTAGGCGTGACCATGTTATTTCAGATTATTGTTAGTGTTAATAAGCTGATATACACAATTCTCTTTTTGCTCTGCAACGATTAGTGGAATCAATTGGTGCAAGGGCCCCATAGGGACCTTGCGTTTTCATACTAAAGTTCGTTTTGGAGTTTTTTCTTATTGTTCTATGTATTTTAAGACATTTTAGAGACAGGGCCCTTTTTCTAAAGCTCTTTTTAGAAAAATAATTGAGATTACAGAGGATACCCATTATTACTGCTTTTTAACACAATGTTAACAGAAAATTCAAATTTCAAACTCCTTATCTCACTATAATTCACCAATGGAGAATGGAAGTTGAGCAACCAAACTTGGCATAAAGTTGGAACCTAAGATAAGCTCTAATCTGAGGGGTATGATCTTTTGTGAAATTATATATTTGCCTAGCAACCACATAGCAACCATCTAAAATAACATATTTTACAATATAAATCCACTTAATATATGCTAGGATGCTATAAGACCATTGCAAAAAGTCTCCTTTTCCTAGAATGCAACAATTCAAACATGTTTACAGAAGTGACATTACCATGTTGCATAGCAACAACATGGCAACAGGTTACAATGCCCATTTTGACATTTGCACACCATATTCCTATTATATGCTCACTTGTATGCTTTTAGATCCCTTCCACATTATTTCTTGACATACAGAAATTGTATTTAAGCATAAATGTTTCCCTAGCAACTTCCTAGCAACAGCTTGAAATAATGGTTCAATTTGCCTAGCAATGACCTAGCAACAGCTTAAAATAGCAATGTTTCTCATAAAAATCTCACTATATATCGACTATGATGTACTTGAAGAAAATCAATATGTATGTCTTTTAATTTATAACGCTTTATGGGACATTTCTTGTCTTATTTCTTATCAAATTGCAAAAGTACTGCAATTCGTGTTTCAGTTCTAAGATAAAGTAAACACAAAATATTCATCGTATTTATCCTTGTTATATTTTCAGCATTGGTACCCCTAAGATAATACTTTAATTGGGTTAATTGCTACAATTTCCTTTGCAGTTGCATAGTTTTGGTGCAGTAGAATGTACCATGGCATTTGCAGTACCCTTTGCAGTCACATTTGGTGCATCCACATTTAATTATGACTTTACATGCCTCGGAGGCTTGCGACAGTATTGTCCATTTGGGTACCCACAATCCTGATGCGCTCCTAAACCATCCCCATCGGTTTGGTGAAGAAAGAACTGGATCCACTTTATACCATTGTCCCCTTACATGTGCTCCTTGGAGAGTTGCTCGCATCACATGATGGAGTGCTGCATCGCATGTTGGAGGTACTCTATCGGGATCTATCTGTCATGAGTGAACATGTGCCTGCGCATGGTATTGGGATTTGTCTCACTGTTTGTAGGCTGGTAAACCAGGATAATGAACCTCTCAATTGTGCCCATAACTTCTGTTGTTACAGTTGATGGGCGATCTGCTAGAGTCAAAAGGACACCTGTTAGATCATTACATGTTAGATCTTGAAATGGAATGTAGTGATACGTTTTGCATTTTGAAAATGCTACATAGACCTCATTCTGTAGCTCAGAGGCACAGGCTAAGGCTATCACAATAACATTACTGTCTACTGATCTTATCATAAATGTCCTGCAACCTTTTCCCACACCATGAGACAAAAACATATGTGTATCTGCCTCATGACATTTTTAATTTTCCACATTTGGATAGTAATATTCCACAGAACCCAGGGTATGGGGTTTATGTATCCCAGCAGGGCTTGTTCAAAATACTAGTATATAGATTTTAAATCAAGACACCATATTTTACTGATTAAATCGTTAGGTCAAGGTTATACTTGTTAAAAGCTTAAAATCCTATCTGGCCTTTGCTGAAACATTCAAGTCATTAATTTCAAAGTTTCAAGTTTTACCACTTGAGATGCTGAAGGATGTAGGAATTGTGCAAAGAGCTCTATCTTTCTAGAAACGCTTGCAAATTGCTTGGTAGTTTGGTGTTAGGATAGGATTTCTCAGAATCAATGAGAACAAGAAAGAGTTCTTTGCACAACTAGCAAATGTTACAAGAAATATTATGGCGGACGATGGAGTCTTTGTCTCAACCATTGAAGGAGAGTGTATCAGTAATCCTACTAATTATGACATAATAGTCCTTGCTCCCAAGAAGAGGCAGATACACATATGTTTTTGGATGTGTCTCATGGTGTAGGAAAAGGTTGCAGGACATTTATGATAAGATCGGTGGACAGTAATGTTGTGATAGCTTAATAGCCTGTGCCTCTGAGCTTCAGATTGAGATCTATGTAGCATTTTCAAAAGGCAAAACTAACGCTACATTCCAATTTATGAATTTGCTTGAGCACTAGGACCACAAAGATCATGTGCGCTGCCAATGTTCCACGCCCTTGCTGGAACTGATACCACATCTGGATTTTACCATCATAGCAAGGTGACAGTTTTCCAGCAATGGAACTTATGTAATGATCTTACAGGTGCCCTTTTGACAAGAAGCACATGTATGGGGGCTTCCTTCACCAAGCCTATGGGGATGGTTTAGGAGCCCATCAGCATTGTGGGTGCCCAGATAGACAATATTGCCCAAGCATCTAAAGCATGTAAAGTCATAATTAAATATGGATGTACCAAATGTGACTACAAAGGGAACTGCAAATGCTGTGGTGCATTCTACTGAATCAAACTATGCACCTGCAAAGGAAATTGAAGCAATTCACCAAAATAAAGCATTATCTTAGGGGTATCAATGCTGAAAATGTATCAAGTACTAATGTGATGAATATTTCCTGTTTACTTTATCTCAGAACTGAAATATGAATTGCAATTTGACATACATAAGACAAGAAATGTCCCATCATGCTTTATACAAGAACTAAGGATTTTTAAGAGAGCAACTATAAAGCTTTATAAATTATAAAATATATATATATTGATATATATATATTGATTTTCTTCAAGTACATTTAGTGGATATAGTGAAATTCTTATGAGAACCATTGCTATTTTAAGATGTTGCTAGGTCGTTGCTAGGCAAATTTAACCTTTATTTCAAGCCATTGCTAGGGAAAATGGTCAGACATAACTGCATCAATACATTTACTATATGTTAAGAAATAGTGTGGAAGAGATCCAAAAGCAGTGAACATATAATAGATATATGGTCTGCAAATGTAAAAATGGACATTGTAACCTGTTGCCATGTTGTTGCTATGCAACATGGTGATGACACTTCTGTAAATATGTTAAAATTATTGTATTTTAGGATAAGAAGACTTTCTGTAATGGTCTTATAGCATCCTAGCATATATTAAGTGGATTTATATTGTAAAATATGTTATTTTAGGTGGTTGCTATGTGGTTGCTAGGCAAATGTATGATATCACAAAAAATCAAAGCCCCCAAGATTAGAGTTTATCCTAGGATCTAACTTTGTGCAAAGTTTGGTTGCTCAATTCCCATTCTCCATTGGTGAATTATAGTGAGATAAGGAGTTTGAAATTTGAATTTTCTATTAAAATTGTGTTAAAAAGCAGAAATAATGGGTATCCTCTGTATTCTCAATTATTTTTCTAAAAAGGGCTTTAGAAAAAGGGCCCTGTCTCTTAAATAACTTTAAATACATAAAACTATATGAAAAAACTCAAAAACAAACTTTAGTATGAAAACGCAAGATCATTCACCAATTGATTCCGCTAGATCAGATCTATCATAAAACAAAATAACTTTCAACTTTTGAAATGTCTATTTATTTTGTGCAGATATCCTCCAAGTAGCCAAGAGTTGAGGGAAATTCAACTAAGACCTGATATTTTAGCTGCAAATGATGATGAACATATGCAATATGAAGATGTGTTTGTGGCAGAAAGAGACAATGACAGAAGAACTATTGATAAAGTGAACTTAGAAAATGATGCCAAGATGCAAAAAATGATAGAATTAGAGACGCTGTATGCTAAACCAGAGAAGAAACCTCCACCAGTCCCAAAGAAAAACTTTAAACGAATCACTCCAAATACAAGTGCATCATCAACCAGTGACACAGATCCCATATCACATTATTCACTGGAAAAAAGAGTTGGTGAAAACAGCACTCCATATGCATCGTCCCATGTTTCTATATCTTCATCGCCGCCCTCTTTACAACAAGATTCCGCCCCTGATGAGGCAACTAAGGGTTATCCAGAACCCGTCAATGCTGTTGCAGGTGAATATGACTCACTTAACCTCGGAACAGACAAACCTCCTGTGCGTTATGATGGACGAAAGCGTTTATATGGATATTCTAAAGTGAAAGATACTTCGATGTAAATGCAAATACAAACTTGAAATATAAGTAAAACGGTGAACACTTTAATTGGTCCATTTTTATGTCCCAATGATTGTCTAATTATTCTGCATATACTCATGAAACTTCAATTTGAACAAATGTTAGAAGATAAACAAATCTCGTACCATCCTGACATCCCGGGGGGTTCACTGTATATAAAACTCGACGGGGGTCCTAGGCTGAAGCCTCAAATATCAATATGTTCCCATACCAATCTGTCAAATTTCAATATGTTCCCATACCAACCAAAATAACGCCCAAAGGCCATACCAAATGTCCAAATATAGGACCAATGCCATACCAAATGTCCAAATATAGGACCAATTCCATATCAAATGTCCAATTATGGGACCAATACCATACCAAAAGTCAAAATGTAGGACCAATGCCATACCAAATGTCCAAATATGGGACCAATGCCATACCTTAATTCAAAGTAAATGAAATATAGGATCAATGTAATACAAATGTGCAAATACAGGACCAATCGCCATACCTCAAATCAAGGACAAATGCCATACTGTAGTTGGGGTCATAAATGACCAAAATAACACGACTCACACTTTTACTCATAGCGATACATCACATAAAATGTTCGGATTCAGTTAAATATATTTTATTTTTAACATCTTACTCTTATCTTTGGCCCAATTTCTAGTCAATACATCAGTCTTAGAATGCATGATACTAGATAATAAGAATGAGATTCAACCTTAGATAGTTGACTAGACTTACTGTACTGCTCAAGTTTTACCACAAAGTTGAAAGCCCACAATTTCTATTTTAAACAAGTTCATTAACGTGTACATTTATATGCATAAAATTAACAATGATTAAAGTTGAATAAGGCCCTCGAAAAGAAGATACTTCGGGAAACGATCCAAAACAACTTCAAATTTGCAACTACTGGACCAATGCCATACCACAAATGTTAGGTAACGTATCTACAACGACCATTCTCATACCAGAAAAGCAAAAGTCCGACCATTGCCATACCTCAGAAGTGAGAAATTTCCGGGCATTCCCATACCAAATCCTAAAATATGGGTCCATTGCCATACCAAACGTTGAAAAAGGTACCCCACATGCGCCGAGGATCCCCGTCAAGGTTTATATATAGTGAACCCCCCTTTACTACAAATATTCAAAATGAGCAAATGGGCGAGTCCAATGGAGTAGAGAAGCAGAGGATATTCAAGAAGTGTTTACTTTAGACATTTCTTCAGTTCTAAGTGGATAAAGTATTACGGAAGAAAAATGACTTTATTATGTATACTTTAGAGCCTTTAGATACAATGAGTATGTACATGGATTTTCGTTTGGAGATGCAGAAGTCAATTATACAATTGTTTCCGAAATGATCGGTATATCTTCTTTGATTAGAAAAAAATTACAGCAGACGATTTAAACAAATTTACATTTAAGAAAAATATGTGACCCTCCTACTAATTTGTATTTTCTAATGTTTAAAAGTCATTGGTGGAGGAAGGCATTTCACTCTACTATGTCCTTGCATTTGGTGTTCATGAGCAACCCATTTGGCATATTAGTAATGATTATGTATTTGTTTTTATTTGTCTGTTCCTTATTAATGGTTTATCGGTTGAAAGTTAGATGTTAATAAGGTACTTTCAAAAGTATACTAAACAATACAATTAGACAAACAAAGTATCTTATGCATTTCTAGGTGTTAGGTATAGTAGTGTGCATTTGACCCCTACACGTTCGTATTATGTCAAGGGGTTGTAATTGCGTTAGTCTAACCATCTATTTGTTAAGGTGTCTATGGTCAAACTTTCATCATATTTCATCTTGGTGTGATTTTTACACTCAGTCAGTTACACAAAGTAATATAAAATTCCAACAAGTATGAGTGTGAATTCACTACTCATTTATTTGTTTGAATACTGAAAAGCATTCACGTTCTACTCAGTCCATGACACACTGTAATAAAGTATTTGTAAATACATAGCGCAAAAATAGTTTATTATCTGCAGGCCTATCGCTATGTTTAATAAATAACCACATGTTCTAAGTCCAACTCTTTATAACCTAAATATGGTTGAGTGTATTATTTTATTAGGAGGCCCGACAGGAGCTCTGCACTTATCTATTTCCACCAATGAACTGCTTAAGAAATATAGACCGAAGAGCAGGTAGTATATTGATGGATAAATACCGCAGTGTTGGGCATTTATGAGAGAGGGGTTCGAAAGCGTTTATGCATAGCCCCAAGGTATTCATTCATCAGTATACCTGATCTGACCAAACTCACCAAAATGTTCCAAATGGTTACTCTATTTCCTACCTTTGGTTTAGCGTTTGCACTTAACGAAACATTTAGTGCAGACCAAGCTACACGGTGCTCAAGTCTTAACAATGGAAATTGTTCCGGACGTGTTTTTTAAACGATTTAGACGTGTTTTGTAAGAACATGGAATACGACATTCGTTAGAATGGAGCAAAAAGGTAAGAATATTCTATACTTTACAAATTAACATTACTTGACTTCTACCTAAGATGTTCGTCTTCATACCCACGTATCTATTTTGGCGATCATTCCATCATACTTCATAGTACTCGCAATAATATCCCAAAATGCCAGAAATATGTACTAAATTTGCATTTAGTGTTTTTTAATTAAGTTTAAACAGACTAACCATTTAACAACGTGGAATAATATTCACTACTCTAAAGATCGTGTTTATATTTTAACTATCTTTATCTTAAAATTGCCATAAATTACTGTAAATGTAGAAAGTGGAGTTAACGATGAAGAAGGGATATTTTTGGACACGCCCAAATAGTTTAATCCAAAAAAATATTCGGTCAATTGCTACTTATTTAAGCTCTTTTAATTTGTGGTTTTCGCACATATTGTGAGTACTTTTCTTATGAATCGATGTATTCATTGAATACAAGGCAGGCTAGTGATTTTCAGGCAAAAATTTGTGTAACACTGCCAGAATCGCTCATTTTCTGATTTAACAAGGTTATAGCATAAGATTCGTGCAAATAACGCGTTTGTGGATACCTAAAGTTAGGATATATAGTATGGTTATAGTAAGCAATATAAATTACATAATTCCATAATCAAATTTATTAACCTACCTCTCAAGTTTTCCAAAAACAAGTCTAAATCGTTTAAAAAACACGTCCGGGGCAATCTCCACTGGTAACACTTGGTCACCGTGAAGCTATGTATCGACGAATAAATACCGGGTAAAATATTGACTTTGTTTACAGTTTATAGAAGGCGTGAATCCAGTCATGCTCGAATTAATGTTACTAGCTATCGTGTATACATTCTCCCTTCACAATCTATACATTTTAAGTTTCATTATTTTCAGTTATGAATTAATCTCAATAATTAACTGTTTAAAAAAAATCTACAGATCTTTAGAGATTTAAATCTGACCTCTACGATTTTTAACTCTACAAATGTAGACTAAATGCGACATAAATGTAATAAATGTCAAGGTCAACCTCAAGGTCAAAATGTTCCTCAGAGTCAGTTACTACTTTACGACTAAGACCATGAGTGGAATGGCCGGTGTTATTATTAATTATATACCTATATAACCCTGTATGATATTTGACTAGGGGTATACCATAAATACAAGAATCATGAAAATATGAATCACTCTCGGAAAAGCCATATTTAGTTAAGACTTGGCATTACTATTACTTTACTAAACTTACTGAGTGATGTTATTGACTAACCGAAAAGTAAGTTATGAGATAAAAAAACCTTTGAAGCCTCTGCAAATTTTATGTCATGCTATTTAAAAAAGTTAATAATTGACAAATATTCTTAGAAACCTCCAGTATGAGCATGCCACTTTGTCATGATTATATTTAACAACTTTTGTTTTAATATCAAGACTACAGTATTAACATCTGAATAACTAAAGTACTGGTAGTTATATTCATCGGCTCGTTGAAATCAATATAAAGAAAAGTTCGCTGTGTTCACACAAAAATAAGGCCTTTATGGCAGTGGAGAGGTCAAGTATCAACTTGATATTAGAAATGTAGCAACTCTGCGGTCTCTAAGTTGAATATGCAACCACTAAACATTCTCAATTAGTAAAGAAAACTACATCAACTTGTTATTCTCTGATATAAAACATATGTCACACAATGGTCATTACGCATAAAATAACTAGTCTATTTACTGATATATAATATTCCCTTTAAGCAACTTTTCATCCTGAAATGGGAGCACACTTGGGAAATTAAAGGTGCCTCTGATTCAACAGTTTTCCAATCAGATATTAATAATGGTAAAACAACATACGGGTATTTTCTTTTATACAAAATGAACAAGTATATTTTCTAACACAAAGATAGGCATGCTGACATTTAAATGTTTGAAATGGCTACAGATAAACAGTGCATTAGGTACATCACAGTACAATGGTTGTAGTTCTTAGGTTCATGGCAATTTGTTGCAGTACTAAGTGCTAGTGAAGCACAGAGACTATCAAAAACACCACCAAATAGAGCTGAGAATGTATTAGGGACAATCTTATTGAAAATATGAATATCAACTGTCCTTTCAGAAACAGCCCTTTTATGCCTCATTGTTAGGCCTTTATTAGCTGGCACGTCCTGCTGATTTATATTGTAGTGTTCATGGTCAACAGTTCTATTGTCCCAACATGTGCTATTAATTCTGTTGTTATATATTGATGACACGGCTGAGCTTTTGGAGTCTGTTTAGAAGTAAATCTCCCTGTTTTATAAGAGCCTGCAAGAAAACCATGTGACACTATTAAAGAGGCAATCAGACATAAGAGCACTTTCATGAAAATATCAACTCTTTTGGGCTCAAATTGATAACTATTTCAGATTAATGACTATTTTTCAAATCTGAAAAATATGTCAGGATTTACAGATTGTCAACTGGATGATTTTAAAAATGTAAGGTCATTTTTTAAATTTAGGATGATAATGTCAATGAAAGACTTTAAATATCAACAGGGTGCAATGTAATATTCAAATAATTGCAATGTAATATTCAAATTCAGGATGGTCAAGATTGACTTACCATGTATTGATGGTTTTTGCTGTCTGGTCTGTTAGTTTCTACAATGCCGCCAACTTTGTCAATCTTGCAGTGAAGTCGTCCTTGTGAGATAAACCTGGACAGCTCCCTAGAAAAAGTTACATTTTATGAGAATGGTATTAATATACAGAGATTATCCAATAATTATGCATATTATCCCATGCTCATCCATATATCTCTTGATAGAATAACAGATTTGGTATTACAGTATTAATACAATTGAATCATTAAGGTACTGGTCAAACGAAAACATTTTTGAAAAAATAGTACCATGGGTACTAGGCTCACGTGGGAAAGCTAAAATGAAACAGTGGAGGCCATTTTGAATCTTTGCAACATATTTTGCCGAAACTTGTAGACATTGTTGATAATCTAGAAATAAAGGTACCTGTATAATTTCAAGCAAATTAAGGGAACACTTGTGGAGTCATGACCAAAAATAAGCTGAAACCTGATTTTTCCGCACTAAAAGTGGTCACCATTGAATATTTGCAACTAATTTTGCCGTAACTTAGACATTTTTGATAAAGTGTTTTAGGTACCTTGAAATTTGAAGCAAATTAATGAAAAACTTTGAGAATTATAACCAAAAGAGCTGAAATCTGATTTTTGTACAATAAAAATGGCCAACATTTAGAAACAAGGTGAGCTTTTGAAACACCACTTATGGAACTATAGACGACCTTATGTAGACACATTTAAAAATTGCTATACCTGCACATGTTATTCTCTGGTACAAAATAAAGTGTGAAGGCATGTGTGTATTTCCTTGCTTTTTTCAGGAAAGCATCATTTCATTGTCTTCTTTCAGTAAACCTGATAAGAGGTCAATGGTAGCTCCAGGAAATGCTGATATTTCAAGAAAATGGTTGCATTTTCAATTTTCCAAATTTCTTCTTCAAGTTTGTCAACAACACTGGATTGCCACTGACCTCTTACCAGATATTCTAATAGAAGACAATGTAATGATACTTTCCTGGAAAAAAGCAAGGAAAACACACATGCCTTCATACTTTATTTTGTACTGAAAATAACAAGTGCAGGTATAGCAATTTATTCAAAAATCTTTCTATTCCACCAATACCTTAATACTTCTACAAGAAAAATTCTAAACCGACTCAAAATCTCACCTGTCAATAAACTCGACTGTGACTCCAAATGCCTTGGCCATATATACGAGAGTAAGGCTCTGATAAGACTCTAACAACTGGGCATACGCAAGCACTCTCATCTCCCTAGCGTAGAACCTGTAGTGCTTGGACAGGTACCTGTCATACTTCAGTTTCTCTTCCATCTGGGCTGAAAGTTAATTCACACGTTTACAATGGGTTTAAACATTGACCCACAGTTCAACAGTTCAGCAAAATAACAATATATTTTTACGATGCCAGGAATTTCTCAGTCTGTAAAAATATTGTAAAAGCTAACATATGTGTAAAATATCTACATATTTCTGAAATTGTAACAAAAAGGGCTTCTAAAACTATATTCAGTGTGCTCATTTATGCTATTCCTTTCAATAGTTACCAACAACATATACTTTTCGAAAACTTCTTTGAACTTACATTATTTCCCATCATATTTTCAAAGTCTTTTTAAACATAGGTCGGGTTGAAAAAGTTTGTCAAATTACAACAGCAGAGCCAGGGCAAAGATACTCAAAGATGCAACAGTTATCTTACAAGCTTTGAAGCAAATGGGCAATCCACCCACTTGGAATTTTTAAAATTCACATTTAAAATATCAGCAAAATTGATCTACCTAGTTGTTTGAAGAATGATTCATATTGACACTCATACATAGAGAAAAGATATTCCTTCACTTCAGGCAGGCTATGTAGAACTTCTAGAATCTCAGATCCACGGATCACCTTGAATTACATAAAATAAAAGATATATAACAAATCAAATAATTTGAGCATGTAAGACAGAAGTACATCAATCTGAAAACACTAGAGACCAAACAAAACAAAATTCAGAATATCAAATAAAAATATTAAGGGACAATACTTGGTATACCGAAGAAAACTTGAGAGAGGCCATACTTTTGTTCACTTAAAAAATTATGACGAAAAATGTTCATAAATCATGAAAATAAATAATTAGAAGAATTCAAACAAGGTCATATTTACAATCTAATTTTTTTTACCTTTTCTCTAAGTTTTGGTCTTTCAAGGGCTATAACACTGCACAGCACAGTATATGTAACAAAATCCTTATAATCCATCAGTTCATATGAGGTGAATGTAGCCACTGTGTCTAGGAATAAGTTAGCTGCTGTTTTAAAGTCTCTTATAGCCATGCTGTAGGCTCCTTTGTAAACCTTTAGTCGGTTTCTTCTGTCCCAATCTCCACCTTCATCTATCAGACTGAAAGGAAATCAGTGAATCTGTAATCTGTATCTTTTATTGTTTAATTTATTTTAACTAGATAACAACAACGTTGTTAAGTCTAAGTTAACTCTAAGTAGACACATATAAAGTTTCAACAAAGTTGCACACATGTTGTTTGTAAATGGCGGACATTTTTCAAAATTTTAAAGTGTCATAAGACAGTGTGACATGCTTAAGAGTTTTCACATATTTTCAGCAAAAATTAGAAAATAGCGTGTAAACTGTATTAGGGTCATCATTTTTCAAGATGGCTACAATGTGTTTCTTAAATATTTACATTTCTTGCTTTATTAATGTCCTATATAACTTTTTTACAATTAAAATATATTGCAATAAATCTGGCTGTGGTAGGGAAAAATGTCTAAAATAATAAGCTACTTCGTTCATAAAGTCTTCAATACGTCCATCTCATTCGCAGTTCGTTCAGGTCGCACCACATCGGTGTGCAACGTCCTATAACACGTCCCTTGGTCTAGAAGGTCATCATGACCTGATTACAGAACGATATGGTCGCCATCGAATTTTTGAATCATTTCAAAATTCTAAAATCACCTTCCCGTCTGAGAACGTTCATGAAGTTCGTAAATAGTCATTAGAAACTTGCAGCTACGTTCATTCCGTTCGCACACAGTTTAAAACCAGTTTTGAAGAACACAGTGGCAACTTGTTTGGTGTGATAGCTATATTTTTGCTAAGTCGTTCATAAGCAGTCTTTAATTCGTTCTTAATCAGTTTAAACCCATTTGCAATTAGTTCTACCTCATTCTCAATATGTCCTCAGACAGTTCAACTCGTTGTTAAAACGTCCCTAGTAGGATTGAAGTACGACGGTTCCGTTCACAGTACGTCCAAGTCGTCGTTAGTACGTTGTCACTCATTCTAATTGTAGAACATGACAACCACGAGAGCATTTTGAGCATGTTCTAAGTTCTAGAGGACCTACCTGTTCAAGTACGTTCGATGAAGTTGGTAAATAGACCCCAAACGGTTCTAAGTACGTCCAGTCCGTTCGTTCACAGTTGAAGCCCATTTTCGAAAATGTAGTGAGAACTAGTTTGGTATGATAGGGTTATATATTGTTCCTAAATTACTGTAGAATCGGCACTATGTGGCCATTTTGAAAATCAGCTTTCGAACAGAACTTCTACCCCATAAAGCATATGTGTACAAAATATGAACAAAATTGGGCCAAAGGTATTTGAGTTATTGTCCGGATGGATGAATATATAGACGGAGACGTTCCCTATATGCCTAGGAACTTTGTTCAATGGGATAATAATCTATACACTACTTCACCGGTGATCCGCTCGATTATGCTGGTTGAACCGTTTTGGTAACAAAATGTAGGACGTGGAAGGTACGACTTTTCTTTTTTCCTTATTTGACGCGTTGTAGGCAGAATCCACACAATGTTTTTCTCACAAACCTGTATTAGCATCATATGTTTTAGAAATTGCACATGTTTTTTCGCAAATATGTACATTTTCTTAAACTTATGATACTGATACACATTAGTGTTAAAAATGTTGTGGGAATTCTGTGTACAACGTGTGAAATAAGTAAAAAGAAAAACCGTACCTTCGATGTTCCGACATTTTTAGTCTTGCTTAAAAGACCCTGTACTCCCCCCCCCCCTTTATCCTTCTCTCTAGGGTCTTGTAACCACCAGTAAGACACTGATATGAATTATTCATGCTAGATGGTTATCTCTTAACACATTTTGATCAGCCAATCAGATTCTTTGTTGTTCTTAGAGCAATACATGGCTATGTTAGTGCCTCTTCACTGCCAAGAAAATAGTTCCTCATACTTGCGATTATATTTCCATGATTTTATCTTGTTGTGTATAGAAATACTTTTCTAAACTTAAATCCTTCTCTTAACAAAGGTTTAAAAGCATAAAAAAAGTATTACTAACTAAAACTCACTACAAGAAAGCATGTCTGGTGTATTGATATATCAAATAGTTCCAACCTCATTAATAATTCATGATTTCCGGATCTGTTTAGGAAGGTGGCAGCACCTGCATAAAATCAGTGGTTACAAGACTGTATATTGCAAGGTAAAGAGAGTGAAGGTGATGGGGGGGGTTGGATCAGTCTTTGAGCAAGACTACGACATTTTGTTACCAAAACGAACCATTTCGGTAACCAGCATAATCGAGAGGATCACCAGTGTACTTATCATTTTAAATATTTCAATTCAAGACCTCGTAACAAACGAAAAATACAGCACTCTTGTATGTAAGTAAAGATTACCTTTGTGCTTTTTCCAAATTTCTTGTAATGAGATCATGATCCATATAAAAAAGACCTAGTCGAATTTGGTGGAATACCATGTCCAATTTATAGCCTAGCGTCACTGTTTTTTCACCTGTTTTACGGAACTGTGATAAACAATTCTCCTGAAAATATTACCAGAGATTATCAATCTACCTAATATTCAATAAAATCACGAAAAAAGTATTCACAAATCTTTTCTATTTAATCATACAACTTACAAAACATTGTGATATTTGATAAGAAATCTCAGCGCATCTTTAAAACGTATTAACACAACAAAATGTCACCACATTCAAATGGTATCAAAAGTGCAACAATATTGTTAACTACCATCAAAAAACAGTTGATATAATGATGTGTCAACACTTCTTGGTGGCAACAATGAACAAAAATAGATTTCACAAGTTCACTTACTTTGTCTCCAATTTTACAATAATATTCTGCTTTGTTCAACATGAAGTCTCGAACTTCTGTTTCGCCTAAATTTTTCTCGGCATCCTCTATTTTACTATCAAGATCCTTCAGGTGTCCCTCGTTGGCTGCTCTCATCTTGGCAACAAGCTGCGTGTCTACCTTCCAGCCAAACTCGGCTGCAACTTCTTCATAAAAGGGTGTCATATCTGAAATAGTAATTACTACGTTAGGTATGTATTTACTAAAATAACAGTACTGTCGCTTTAAAATGATTAGTTGCCATGTTATATCCAGTTATGCATATATTTTATATTCAACAAGAAAATCCTATAGAATTTAGAACAAATTTGGTGAAATAGGGGTTTCATTAGGATTAAGAACATTAGGCATTTAGCAAAAAACAACAGGCGAACTTAAATCTTCAATATTTTGCCGCTAGCTTCGCTCACATAATTCTAAAATTATTCGCCGCTCACATTACCATTTTAATGAATGTTTCTCACTCGCTTTGATCTCATGCACAGCGGCTTAAACGTAAGAATATCTTGTATGATGTGTTTGTGAGTCGGGTGCCTAATGTGAGACTATGTCCTTTTGTTTAGAATATGTGCATTTTAATTGAGTAAACAAGGAATTGAAGCAAGACTACCTTGTTTAGAATGTACCCCCCCCCCCTCTCATTCATTTACAATTTACATTGAAATCAAAGATTGTCAAAGGAGTGTCTAACATAAATAAACTGTAAATGTAAATAAGTTACAAGCTAAGGAACTTATGTGATTTTATGAAAAACAAAAATAAAAATAATCCACAAAAACACATTTGACATTTGATTCAGTGTAACAAGTAATAACAACAGTGTAAACTACATCAGTGATACTACAAAGTGAAAACGAGCACCGGAGACTATATAAGGTGGCATTAAAGCACCACAAACAATTGGATATAAACAAACAAACATTAAGGTACAGCTGGAAAATAACATTTTGGTAAGAAATTGCTATACCTGCTTCCCTGCGTGCAGAGTGCAGAGTTAAACTACACTCTGCCTAGTAGAGACCATATTACAGTTTAGTAGCCCCGCCCCCACAATTGGTACTGGTGACAGTTTGGATAATAAATCACTTTTGACCAATGCGCTGACCAGGCCACCAATCAGCGAGCTTGAAGAAACATACGCAAAATGCGTTCTAATTAAATATGCGCATGTCATTGGTCAATTCCAGGCTCAACGATGACATCAGAAGGAATGACCATATATAGAACGTCGGTCAAATTTGGCCGACGAACACTGATTGGCACGGTGAGTTCACAGGTTTATTTTAGTTTGAAAGAGTGAAGACGAAGCTCTCTCTTAAGAAGCGAAGTCAAGCAAATGCAAAGGGTATATACCTGCACATGTTATTTTCTGGTACACCATAAAGTATGAAGGCATGTGTAAATTTCCATGCTTTTTTCAGAAAAGTATCATTACATTGTCTTCTTTTAGTATATCTGGTAAGAGGCCAATGGGAACTCCAGGAAATTCTGATATTTCACCCTTTCTATTTTTCCAAATTTTCGTTTAAAAGTTTCCAGACAACACAGAACCTACAATTGACTTGTTTCCAGGTTTACTAAAAGTAGACAATGTAATGATACTTTCCTGAAAAAAGCAAGGGAATATACATGCCTTTATACTAAATTTTGTACCAGAAAATAACATGTGCAGGTATAGCAATTTTTTACCAAAATGTTACTTTCCAGCTAACCTAATCAACCAACCATGGCTTATCGCATCCTACGACCCCTTTAGGTTGTGGTCGTACGCCCGATTCATTGGTAAGCCTGTCTTTCTACAATGTCGGAGAATGGACTACGCATTGCACTATTAAATGACCTACCTCGATACATTCCAGAGTATTTTAGAATTCTTTTTATGTTGTTAGATCGCCAATTGTATGGATTTATCGGCAGAACGAAGAGATTTTAGTTTTTACATCAGAGATATGTCAGCAATTTTCAAAATGTCGGAAGGGGAATTCCCCAGGGATTTCCCTTATGACTGGTGCATGCCGGGAACTGAATGGAGGAATTTGACAGTTAAAATAAGATAAATATTACACGCAAATATTGCTATCAAAAACGAAAATATCTTCGTTCTGCCGATAAACCCATACAATTGAAAACAAGATTCCAGTGAGATAATTATGTGATCTCAACGGTATGAACTTAATGTGAACCTTCAGTGCCAATACCACATCATAAGTATTATCCTAAAAAGACACGTCGATCCTGATGCGTGTGTGATCGCATCGTAGAGTTGTTGTTGAGAGTGACTTGGCGAAATTAAAAATAATAAAATCAAAAAAATGTTTGATCCATTTTATGGAAGGAGTACTTACTATCTGCTTTAATAGCCTCCATTAAGTTATTCTGAATTGTTTTATCATTCTTGTAACGATCTGTTCCGAGCCTAAATCTCCATTGCGGTAGCTGAAGATTGGGATTCTTCTCCAAACCTTGTTCTTCCAAATTTTCGACCGGCATGTTGAAAACTGACGTCACGAAAAATGCACAGAAAAGACGAACAAAAACAACGAATACACGAACTTGATTTCGTTCAGTGCTATATGCCTTATCAATCTTAAATTTCCCGGGATTTATTTATCATTGAATTAGATTCTTGATTAAACAGGTTCTTTATTTCTTTTGATGTAGCCAAGGGCAAGTAATCTTTTCCTGGCTTCTCTCTGAGATAGACGTCCTTTTTATAGCATACCAGATAAGAGGTTCGTAATACTTGATTCAAAAACTGTTAGCCTTTCGGTAATGTCAGAATCACCACCATCTCGATGAGTCATCAGAGCAGCCTGGTGACTTAAATCTGAACATCTGAGTATTATCACTGGTGATCCACTCGATTACGCTGGTTACCAAAACGGTTCGTTTTGGTAACAAAATGTCGGAACATCCGGAAGGTACGATTTTTCTCGTTTCCTTATTTTACACGTTGTAGGCAGAATTCCCACGACATTTTTTAACACAAACGTGTATCAGTATCATAAGTTTAAGAAAATGTACATATTTGCGAACAAATAGTTCAGAAGACAACAGAATCGTCGATTTACTTCCTCATTTAAGTTACATAAACGGTTTGGGTTAAAAGTGCAGATCTTAACTGTTTTTCGAAAAACCGTTTCTGTAACTTAAGTGAGGAAGTAAATCGACGATTCTGTTGTCCTCTGAGCTATTTTTTAGCAAACATGTACATTTTCTAAAACATATGATACTGATGCACGTTGTGAGAAAAAACGTCGTGGGGATTCCGCCTACAACGCGTGAAATAAGGAAAAAAGAAAAATCGTGCCTTCGACGCCACATTTTGTTACCAAAACGGTTCGTTTTGGTAACCAGCGTAATCGAGTGGATCACCAGTGATTATGTACACAAATGTGGAAACATATATGATATTATGATCATCATTGAGGTATTACCAAAAAATTATGATGATGTTATTACAGAACAAGTTTTTAAATTCACGGGGTACCATCGAATAATTTTGGCAACGTACCGGAGAACGACATTTTACTAAGAAATGGCAATAATTTAGCACAATATATTTTTTAACTAGAGTTCTACTTTGATTTTGACAAAAGTAAGTATTCCCATTCTGATACTCATAGCATCTCTCTCTGTTGCATCGCAGATGGATAGAGATGGAGAGGGCGTGGATTACCACGATGAAGTATTCCATGCAATGGCTATTCCATTCATGAGTTTGTAGGAATTCTGTTGGAACCCAGTTCTGATCAAGTACGAAGTTATTCAGGAAATCGGCGCAGTCGGACTTTACTCCGAAAGATGGTTTTTCGATTATAACTTTTTACAACATTTAAGTATAGACTTTTGAAAAAAGTACAGAATAGTCCTTATACTATTGAATAATTCTGTTATTTCTGATTCACACGACTCTGATTTGTTTAATTAAAAAAAAGTTTTAAAAATATTACTTAGGAACGTAAAATTGGTGCAAGCTTTTTTCCGCTTTTGTCTATTGATGATCATAGCCTACAGCATAATTAATTTATAACAAACAAGTAAATCTAGGATGTTTAAACTTTCTCAAAAGGGCCCTCAAAATATACTTTATTCAATTATCTACAACTTGGTGTAATATCTTCAACAACTTTGATGATGTACGAGTGATCAATAAGTAATGGACGCTTTTTTACACAGATACTTTTTATAGCACCCCAGTTGTCCGAAACCCAGTTGTCCGAAACCAGTTGTCCGAAACCCAGTTCTCCGAAACCCATTTTTCCGAAACCCAGTTCTCCGAAACCCAGTTGTCCGAAAAATTTAGTCATACTTTACCAGATAAAGGGGGACGCACCTCAAGCCAGTTTCATGTCATGTATTTGGCAAAATTAATGGCATGGATGCATTCTGATGTATAGATCTCTCTCTCACTGTCATCAAAACACAATATATATTACGGAACAGTTGATCTTATCTTATTCAATATATTTTATATAGGCAAAATAAAATGAAACATTTTGAAACCGATAAAATAAGTTAACGCATAAAACTTTAAGAATAAACAGTACACATATTACGTTGTCAAAATGTTTCGTCGCATTTAATTTCTTAGTCTCTGTCTCTTATCAAATCGTAAAATGTAAAAGAACAAAACATTCTAAACGTAATCACTTGGGATTAACTGGAAACGAAGACAGGCTGTCCTCGTATCAAATTGGATGTTCTCCAATTCGCAAGAAGTTTCATTTTCGCCATGTACTCACTTCATCTTTTTGAATTTAATCTCTATTTCTCGAACAGAGTACCTAAATGAAGAATAATTTTTGGTTTCAAAAGATGTACACGACGTCAACTTTACTAAATAAACGCCCAGTAGGCTCATTTGCGTGAAAAGCCGGTAGTTGTATTTATACACTCCCCTCCATAAGTTTGGCAACCTTAGCTCCCCCATTGAACTACGTGTTAAAGCCTCTTTACGTTTGAATTTTTATTTACGATGAAATAGCGTATAATATTGATGGAAACGTAACTTTACTTTATTTCCAATACCTCCTAATTTTCTAGATTTTTTTCCTCCATAACAAGAGATCGAAAATTGAACCGATAAATTTGATGAATTTTTTAAAATCGTCATTCCCGTATACACCCCGGGTGATCAATATCCTGTGTTCCGAATTTCGTTCCAGCAAGTCAGTGACCCGAGTTGTGTTTTACTGAATCCCGACAAATATGGCGGCTAATTTGACAACAGACGATGTTGATGTCGATAATTATTCAAAACTTTCTGACAGCATAAGGTAAGACTGAATATAGAGTGGCGCATTCGGTGCCTAAATATGTTTGCAACATTTTCTTAGTTGTTTATCCATATGCGTTGGGCATTACTGCTAATCGAAGCATAAGTAAACGTGACCTCATTTTCAACGCTCGCTGGAAAGTATGTCACCGAGCAGTTTTTGACCTTCTGTTAGTTAATGAGATAAACTGTTATCATGGTATAATTACTGGGTAGACGTTTAAAGTATGTACCAACTCGTGCTTCCAGTGAATGTAAACCATTTCTTTGCATAAGCGTCCTAGAAGGCATAATAAGATATATTCCATAGTACCGAATAGGAATCGCCAGTGTTCCGACGCACTTCATGGATAAATGCTTATAGACTATTGAATCATAATGAACAGAAGCAGTGTATACTCACGTGTGATATCTTAATTTATCAAAAGTAAGAATTGAATGCATTTGATAATATTGATACTTTGCCAACTTGACTGATTTTTTTCTAGTCTGAGTAATTAATAAATGAGTAGTGGATTTGATTAATTGAGGATTTCCCATGTTAAAATATGTGAAAATTGTCAAGAGGCCACACACATCAGAGGATGAGAGTACAATACAACATGTGTAAATTATGAGACTATGTTGCAACACCTTCAAAGAATGGTCATTTCACAATCCACATTGCACATACTGTAGCAGGCATTTTTATGATATATTTTAACATTGTCACAAAAATCAGGGATTGACAAAAAATATAGCATATCATATAGCAGGTATATGCCAGGTATTGTAATATATTTCAACGTTGTCACTGTTAGAGTAGGCATTACAATTTACCCATAAAAATATAATAATATTGACAACAGGCTAAAAAGTCTTCACTTAGTAAGCCATAGATAAAGGCGACGGTCACACCAGGCTTTCACGATAGCATTGCTAAGGTAATGGCAGGATCCATGCATAATTTATTAAATCAGGCCCGCAGATAGGAGGGGGGGGGCCCTGGTCAGAAATTCTCTCAAAAACTTGCAGTTTTTCACCATTCTGAGCACTTTTCACATGATTGTTTGCCAAAACAACAGATCATACTTATAGTAGAAGGCTAGGCTCAAATAAACCTCAAATTGAGGTATTATCATTGAGATACTGATACTATACATACGATCGTGCTATCAAAACTGTCAAAAGCCCCCCCCCCCCCTTGGCAAAAAATCCACCCTTGGTAAAACCGCTCCCCAATGGTGAATCCTGGATACGGGCCTGTAAATGGTCATCGTGGTTGTACCAGACAGCAATGCAATGTTTTGATTTGCACACATTTTTTATTTTTAAAAATCTAATTGAGAGCATCCTAATCATGTGAAAAGTTCAATTTTTTTTGAATAGTTATATTCCTTCTATAAAGTGGGTACACTTTTTGGGACACCCTGTATTTGCAGTTCAATGCCAATGTGAAAATCAATATGCAGGGAAATTCGATCTTGAATTTGTAAAATAATAACAAGAAAGGTAGCACCAAATTAGCTTTCAAAGTATACAAAATATATATAATCTTATTCTGTAGCTTCGGGACAATGACTATTTGAAAAATTTGAGGTGTTCAAAATTTGGCAAGATGTAATAAAATTGAAACCAAGGTGTTCAAAATTTGGATCAAGGTGTCCAGATTTGGACCAAGGTGCCCACATTTTGAGGGGAGGTGTTCAACATTTCCAAGTCACTCATGTTAGGTGTTCCCAAGTTGACAGGCCTGTATTCGGTAGAATGGAATATATCTTTCAACGACTTCTATGACGCTTATGAAATTTAATAGCTTGGATTCAAACATAGCACAAGTTGAGACATATTAATAAGGTATACTTTACAGTTATACAATGCTCAGAGTATCCATCATTACTTACAGAAGGCAAAGAACGACTCGCTGATATCGTTTTCTGCGAGCTTTTCGAATAGGGTCATGTTGGTTTCATGCTTCGATTTGCATTAATAGGCTACACATATGGATAATCGTTTAGGAACATGTGGAAAACATATTCCAGCACCGAATGCATTACTCTATATTCATTCTTACCTTATGCTATCTGATTTGTTTGACACATTTTCGTCACCTGGCTCGTCCAGTGGCGAACGAGACGCCATATTTATCGGGATTCAGTAAAAACACAACTCGGGTCACTGACTTGCTGGAACGAAATTCGGAACACAGGATATTGATCACCCGGGGTGGTATAATCCAAGGGGAAATAGAG